TGATATTTACAACTGTATACAGAAAAAAATACATTAAGTAAATGTGATAATAGAAAATAATAACAATAATAACAATAGAAGATCTCGAGGCCTTTTTATCTTCTTTTCAGACTCCTCGGAGGGGATCAGGGATCGAACAGGAAGCAAGGTTAGAAACGAGAAGGTTCGGATGGTTCTCAAGTTTATTATGGAATGATAAGTATCTGGATTGGGCCAAATCGGAAACATAAGGAACATTAAGATCGTTATGGATGATTTTATTAGCGACAAAGTAAGGAGCATTGAGGAATTTACGAAGGATTTTGGATTGTAAGGATTGTGAGGAATTCGGTGGCTTTGTGGAGCCCCATAGCTCAACTCCGTAAGTCCAAATAGGTCTTATTATAGTCAAGTATATGAGTCTTTTGTAATTAACTGAAATCTTAGAGCGTTTGTCTAGTAAGTGCTGGAGTAGGCGGAAATGTCGAGCGGTTTCTTGTCGTTTCAGTCTGGTACAAGGATTCCAAGTTAGACGTTTGTCCAATTGGAGTCCAAGGTATCGGATTTGTTCAACAGGGATAAGTGGGGTATTATTAAAGGATAGAATGAACTTAAATACGGAAATTTAATTCTTACGTATATTCGGAAGATTGATTGTTAAGGAAATGTATAAACAATTGGTGTTTAAAAGACGTTGAAGAAGATGAGGTTTTGCGTATGGAGATGGGCAAGGAATTCCAAAACAAGGTAGCACGCATTATAAAGGATTTTTAAAGGAATCAGTTTGTGGGCTGGGTGTTGAGACAATGGACAGAGGAACAAGGAATAATCAAGTCAAGATGGGTAAGTAGATTTTTTGGTTGTAAAATATTTGTAAAAGAAATACACTTCGGAAAACTGTATAAAGCCATTTCAATTCGGCATATAAACCGGAGACGTGGAATCTTCTGGGGACACAAAATATAAATCTAATATCAGATAATGAGTAGAAAATTCCACTCCAGCAATAGGAATTGATTAGAAGGAAAATCGTTCCTGAGACAAATTAAAATACTTCGTCTTCATAATAATTTCAAAATATGAAAAAATGAACCAACGATAGAATATGGGTCAACGATTAAAAACCACTAGCAGATCTATCTTCTTTCATTCAAAGATAATGAAATCCCTAAAAATCTCTATTAGTCTCAAATTAGGTGATTGATACAGAAATCCACAGTAGAACCATGTTCGAAGTATAGTCTTGCCAAGGAAAACTGCATAGATGCACGAGATAAGTGGGTGGAATTTCATAGAATTAATATCGGACCATGTAGATACCAACTCGCACAATCCCAAAATTTCATGATTGATGTCCAAGATGTAAATCGCGAGTGTTCTGAGTACAGTTTTTTTTCTTGCACGAATACAAAGCTTCGCTACATTTGGTAGTGAGAAAACAATACATATTAACGATGCAAAGTGTCTCTAAAATTCCATGATGCTGGAATAGCAATAGTGGCGTTGAGATTACAAAATTCTAAGATGACGTATAAAGGAATGATCGGATCGTGAAGTTGGATAAAGTTTTACGCAAGACGGAATTACGAAGAGCCTTGAACTTGAACCGTTGGAATCATTGATCTTTTGCCAAATTGCAGCGCTATCGATTCACGGTTTTATTAACAACAGATCGATAGAGAATATTAAGATATGAATAACTTCATCGACGAAGAAAAAAAACAAAAACAATTCCTAAACCGTTGACTACAAATACTTTTAGTTTAGGTAATGTAGTCCGACAATCGAAATGCAAAAAGTTAAAATTTTAATAAGCCATTAATTATTTTTTATTTCAAGTTTTAAAAAAGATAAAATAAATTATTAATATATTTTTTTATTCTATTAGAAATTCAATAGAACCAATCAGCTTATCAGGACCGACTATATCCGAAATCTAGATTATCCCGAACACTTTTTTTTATATTATAAATAAATGTTAAACATTTTTCAAAATACATGAAATAGGATATATATTTTATGCGCGTTACTTCTTTTTTTTATTTACTACTCATATGTTGTTTGGAATAGCCGTATCTAAATTATCCGGAAAAAAGGAATAAAATTGAGTTTAAAAAGAAATCTACAGATGTGCCTGTAAAAAATCATCCCGCGTAAAAAATTTTTGACGGCTAAAGAAGAAAAAAGAAATAATATAGAATATGTATTAGAATAAAATATAGTTTAAAAAAATATTTTTAACTTTGATCATGGAGAAAAGAAGATTCATAATGAAAGTTACACGTTTTAATGTTTCGTGAATTTTAAATACTTTTTATCGCGTGATATAATATTTAATATATTTTTGTTTCAACTGTTTCTTTAGTCTAGATTTTGCAAGAACTGTTGACACATGGTACAATGCCGTGTGACAAAGACGACACTCTAAGTACAGGTTCCTGTGCATTACCTAAATTATTCAGATACGTGATGAATAATGAATTTCGGAGGGAGGGGGCCACCACAGCACGTGAGCAGAAAAGTCCCCCCCCCACACCCTCAAGATTGGAAATAAAGAAAATTACCCTAAGTACGTGACTCCAGCGTATGCTGGTCAATTCCCTTCTTCTCCAGCCGTATCTTGCTTTAGTTAGAAATTGTCAATTATTATTTTTTTTTTTTCTGAGAATGATGTGGCAAAAATACAGTTTGTGATTAGATATGGCCACTAGCGGATCCAGGATTCCATTTTTGGGGGGGGCTTCAGCCCGAAAGCTTTTTTTTTCCATATAAGTATAACGATAATTAATTTGAAAAAAAAAAGATAGAAAGGAATTAATTACCTATTTGAAATGGTGTTGAAGTGGTTCTTAAAGTCCTATTAAAAGTAATAACACGAACAAGAATACTTTAAGACATAGTTTTTAATATTTGTTGACGTAAAATCCATGCCCCTCACCACTACACTGAGTTAAGGTGGCTCTTCCCCTCCTTTAGAAGACAAAATTTCCAAGGTACGTTCCTCTATCAAATCATCAACAACCATCGTCCTTCTTACGCCTACAACCTTCTCCAATTCATGTCCTCAGTCCATTCCCTTTCAACAAGATCTCGAACGTCTGACCTCTACATCCCTTCGCACAGATCTGCCTCATTTCAGAATTCCTTTATAGCTCGCGCTGTCAATTTCTGAAATTCTCTACCTATCGAAATTCGGCATTTCCCCTCCATATCCACATTCAAATCCCTCCTATTCCAATTCCTATCCCAAAAACAGTCAGATACTTGCTAAACTTTCGATATTATACATTTCTAGTCATCATCAAACGATAGTACTATTCTATACTGTGAACTTCACTAGGGATATTACATTATCTTCCGGCTCTTAATGCCACTGACCGCATCTATTTTTTTTTTATTATTATTTTTTATTGGTATATAATTAAATCTGTACCTCTAGCATTTGACAATGATGAGTCTACATATTAATCATTATTTAAAGACACTGATATTTTATATTGTCAGCTTTGTCTTTTCTTTGTTAGCAGAAACACACCTCATTTTAAAGAAGAATTCAATGTATTTTTTATTATTTTTTTTTTCAAAAGAGTATAATTATAGTTTTTCCTACTGTACATAGTCCTAAGTTTTTTTATCATAGTTTTAAGTGTTTTGTATATAGATTTTTTTTTTTTGTATATAGCTTGATTAACTAATATTTTCTTTACTTTCTCGTTTTTATTATTGTTTTATTTTGATGTAGTAGCCAGATGTAGTATTTTAATTAGGTTCTATTTTGTTATTCTAAAGGTACTTTGTCCCAGAATAAAGTTATTTTCTATTATTATTATTAAAATATGGTCATATTTCACCATTTTTTTTTTTGGGAGAGGGGGAAGGAGGAGGGTTTCAGCCCGAAAGCCCCTCATAGATCCACCAATGGATATGGCCAGGTGGCCTACTTTTTGTTGGACATTCCTACCTATAATTTGTCATATGCCCTACGATGGTTACAAGGAATCCAACTTTGTTTAGAATTGCATTTCATCTTTCAAATTTCATATTAAATGGTTACTATAGTTTAGTTTCTGACAGAACTTCCTTCATCATAATTTGTAGAATGCTTCTTGTTAATCGTCAAATATAAATAGACTGATAAGAGGAATTGATGTTCTCTAGATCTTATTATTTTTAAGCGAAATCACTGTGAATTTTCCAGAGGATTGTTTAAAAAAAAAATGGTGTATCGTTATTAAAGTTTCAAGAGTAAACCAAAATTATAAATTTGGAAACTACACGAAGTAATCCCTCAATAGATAGAGAGAAATACTTTATTTAAAGCAGTGCTGCCCTACTATATAGGGTTGCTCTATACACAGCATACTCATCAATCCTTTTTTTTTGGACATACAAATTATATACTAATTCTTTATTATATTATAACCGACTGATGATAAGTAATTTTTCACCTGCCTTAGGTCGATCCTGTGGCTTTTTTATAATTTTTAAATTTATAATTAGTGTTGCGTAATTTTGAATACTTCATAAATAATGTTATAGTGTTACATTACTGGAATTAGTACAAGGGTGTTATAAATTTTTGAGCTGAAAAAAAATTTCATAGCTACTCTCTGCCGATATACAATGGCACCTATTATCCTACTTTTGAATTTAACAACATGCTAACCCTACGATGTGAAAATCTTGAAGAAATATATTCCAAAAATATCCAATATATTTTTTTTTCAAGTGAATTAGAAACATAAAGCACTGAGTTAGAGCGAAAGTTCATAGATATATATAACAAAGAGAATCCAACGAAAAGAACTTCAGGTGAATTTTTTACATTTCGTGAAGAGAGTATTTATAATTGGCGACACCGTTTTGGAAATCAGTTTAACGTTTGTATTTGTGTTTAAATATCTACAACGTATATTTAGTGAAAAAAAATTTAGAGAACATAGAAACGGGCTCATGATGTTGCCATAGGGTACGCTCAAATCAAGGATGTCATCTTGTCAAGTCATTGAAAACAAAAAGGATTAGTCGTGAATCGATGGACTGAGACCCTTGGTCTGAGCATACACTTATTAGAATAGATGAATATCGATGAAGTCAACGATCGCTTAATCCAATATAAATTAAAATTGCACTTGCTTACCTTGTGTTGTTCCTGTTGGGAGAGGAGCTGGTCCCGCACCATTTGGAGCTGGAGGATCATCTCGGACAGCCTTCGTTCCTTTTCCAGGATGGTTTCCCCCGTCAGGGCTTCCAGGTTGATGAGGTTCATCTCACCGTTCTCTCCCGTCCTGAAACATAAAGCCCTTCGTTATAGTCTTAAACCTGGTTTAAGACAGTGGTTTGAGGGTTTAATAGGACTCATCGGTAGCCTGAGAATATTAAGAAATCTTCTGACCGTGGAAATATTTGGAATTGGTCATAGAAATTTTATTTGAGTATCTTTTGAGGGTTTATAAGTCTAGAGATAAAGTATAATAACTACCAGACAAAGATGAATGTAGATCTTTCGGAAATAAAGGGAAAGCGGAGTGAGATATCGGAAGAAAAAAAAAAAAGAAAAGAAGATTGATGAAATACCAGAAAACTTTTTATTTTATCAGGGTTTACATTAATTGATATATATTCTGAAATTATCGCCAATTTCTACAACATAACGAAAAAATAAAAAAAATAAGAAAACCTGAACCACTAACAACCCATGAAGGGCCATTGGGTTCGGTACAATGTGATGAAGTACTGTTACAAGGCTAAGGGAGTTGACGGGCCAATATCATTTTCAATCGCCAGGTTTTCCCCTTGATTAATTATTTAATTAAGAGTACCCTGCTTATAGAGGCCGGGTTTGCCCCAGGAAGGTCTCCCGGCCACAGGATCGACCCACTGCTGATGAAAAATTATTAATCATCAGTCGGTATCGAACCTGGGACCTTGAGGTCTTGAAGTCAGTGCTCACCCACTGAGCTACTCCGCTCCTTTTACTGGTTCTTAACGAATAGTTTATGTCGACTAGGTGTGATCAATGCTGATCGAAGAGAAGATATAAGCAGGGTCTTGAACCTTGGTATCTCAACTAGCGTACCCACATGTATGTGTGTATTTTTTTAATAACTATAATTACTCGGAAAGATGAATAAAGAATCTCCATAAAATGATGATTAACTGGTCGTTGAAGGCCTGTTAAGAAAAAAAATATATAAGAACAATAATGCTTTTTGGGATAATTTTTTTGTTTTTTTTGGCACGGTGCTTACATTTAGTAAGTAAAATACATGCGTTATTATTAAAAAAAAAAGTGCTTATTTTGATTGTTTATATATTTAGCACAAATCAAAGAAACAAATATGGGCTAATGAACCCATAAAATATTTTTCAATTATTGCGAGTATGACTTCAGCCCGTAAAACAAATGCCTTCTATATAATTTTAAATGAGTATATATTGTGATTGTTTAAATAGTTGGCTTACATCACTAAACTAAAAAAATATGGATCATTAAAAAAAAAAAATAATTTTTCCATTTGAGGGGAGTTGAGCTTCAACCCGAAAACTTCCCCTCTCGGAGATCCGCCATTGTTATTAAACATATATTTCTGAACAATTAACTGACAAATTTTTACACCCATTTTTCATTCCAAAATACCTAAACAAATAAAATTTCTTTATCAATATTAAACAACTTTTATTTAGCCGTTACCACACATATATGTAGCATTTCGGCCCCTTGGCAATTTTCACACATATTATTTATCACTTGTTTAATTTTTTGTAAAATTATTTGTCGGTATCCAAAAAATAAATATTTGTTTTCTTATTGCCTATCAATAAGATTATTGCGTTATTTTTTTTTTACGGCCATTTAAATACTGCTGTTATTACGTCCATATTCTGAATAATTTTTGAATAAATAGAAAAAAAAACTAATAACAATAATAATTATTTAATAAAATTTTACATATGTTTTTCATTTTACATTTTAATTAATTATTTTAAGGTAAAATTTATTTATTAAAAAGTAACCTGCACTATTTTTAAAATTTTTACTCGATCTGCTTACAGAAACTGGTCAATCAATATCCCATGATATGAAGGCACGGAGATTGAGTTGGGCATGGGTACGTAACAATGAATGCCTCAATAGAAGGTAAAAGACCACGGGGAAGGTCAAAAAGCTGATGGATAGATAAAATTACAAAGATGCATTAGCCTTGGATGGAGATGGATGGAAAGATGGAGCAGTCTTGTTAAGGCGGCAAAAGATCTACATAGTATCTAAGGCCAAAACAAAAAATAAATAAATAAATAAACATATATATATATATATATATATATATATATATATATATATATATATATCATACCTCGTTATTTTAATAAATTGAAAATGGATGAAATGTCATTTTGCTGCACTTGAGTGGATAAATTTGAAAAAAGTTTAATAATATTTTAATTATTGTTAATTTAACTGTTCATAAATTAGGATATTGCATATCATATACACAATATATGTTTATATTAAAAAATGTGGTGCGCTGCACGCATCACACAACTTCCGCTTACCACCCTCTTCTTAACAGAAATAAGTATTTTCAGACAAAGGAGAAGTGGAAGTAAAAATTATAGACGCTATAACTAATTAATATTTCATTGTGGGTATTTTTATTTGCATAAGTACCCTCATAAATACAAATTTTAATATTTATATTGCTGTAATCTATACAATTAAATATTAAATAATACCAACAATAGCATTTATGAAAACCACATATGTATATTTATGTAATATTGTCGGAGTCAGTATTATATTAATCTTATGTATGATACGTATGGTAGCGTGTTCTGATCTTTCGGGCGAGCTTGGGTGGGCTCGTATTCCTTCGGTTCCTCAATTACAACTATTCTCCGTTACGATATCTTATTTCTCCTTTAGTTATTTATCAAATTATTTCATATTTTATATTTAACCATTCTTCATATTAGAAATTATTGTGAAATGGTCAAATGATTGTAATAAAAAAAATTAAAGGTACTTTAGAGGAAGCTAATATTGAAAATTACCCATTTAAGCCCTGTTAGAGAACACCGATCAGAATAATAATCAAATTTTATTTAAAACTCTTTAATTTTACATTGATATGATGAATTTAATCAAAATCGTTGAAGCAGTTTTTGAGATAATCGTAATAATCTGTTTAGTACATTATATAAAGTGCTACTTCCGGTAAGTCGATTATGACGAAAAAGTTGCTGTAACATACCTACCATATAAAACCTTTAAATATGCAATTTCACTTCCGTACGACTTTTCGTTTTTGAGTTAGACTGTTAACACACACACACACACACACACAGACCATTTTGCGGGACTTGGTTATTTTGACTCAGGGGACCTCAAAACGTGCATTTCTGTTAAAAACTCAGATTCAAAAATTTTTAAGATAGCAATACTTGCCCTTACTATACATTGCATATATAGCTATGCGAAAGTAAAAATGAGTAGCCGATTTAAAGGTGAAAAAAATAAACATATATTTCCTATGAATGTATATTATCAAATATGGCATCATAATAAATTAATTAGAATATCAAGTAATTCTATTCATGACTATAAATTTCTCATAAAATAGGCCTTTAATGGGATAACAAAAATGGAAATTATTTTCTCACTGATTTAAATTTTTAAAATAGACTATTTTTCAGTATCATACCGTTACTCGAAACCTCTACATCTCTATCGTGACCTCCTCTACTTGACAGTGGAAACTTGGAAAAGGCACTACGCGACAGAAAGCTATAAATATGGATTTACGTGGATGCTATAAAGTTTTTTAGTTGGCTCCTGGGCTAAGATTACGTCATAAAACATCGGTGTAGTCTATAAGACCATTCTGGATGACCGCATTGTAAATCATGCGGAACGAAAGATGGATATAAATTGCTCAATTTGAAAAATGGATTTTTTTTTTTTTTTCAAAAACATAAAATAATCATATAATATACGTTTCTGGTTATCAGAGGAGAACGCGTTGGTGATTTAAAATAGGGTGTACGGACTAGCTGTTTTGATTATTTAAGCCTACTTAAATTTGTATTATAAATAATTATTGTTAAATTAACAACAATAAGCTACCGAGCATTTTATCAGGACTTAAAACTAGTAACCATTTTAAATTCTAGATAAATCTCATCTGAAGACACAACTTTGGTCAATAGGTTGCAAGTCGTTGCTTTCTATGCAAAAATTTAAATTAAAGAGGCGAAATTTAACGGTTCATTTAACTGAAAAACATGTTTAACGGCTGAAATGTTGATACCCTCTCACATATTAGCGTGTCTACATAAGATAAATAAGGAATTTAATGCTCTTTAAAATTTATTATAATAAATTTCTTCGAGAGATTCATAGATTATGAGTTTTGGTGGAAAAACCGATGAAAACAGATATTTCTTGTGAAATAAGCAAACAATCAATATTCCTTAACTCCTCACCCGTTAGACCTGCATCAATAAGCTATGTATAAAAGTGATAGTAAATTTTATCTTCCTTAACTTCGCTTATAATAATAATTTCGATAAAATGCATCGTTTTGGAGTCATGTCCAATAAACCAAAAAAAGATAGGAAATTTTGATATTTTTTTAATATATCTCAGAACGCAATGGAGAATTTCGTTCGAAAACATCAAATTCCAGATTCAGCATTCCAAAATAAAAAGTATTTAAACTAACTATTTGAATTTTTTCCTCATTCAACTGGCCTAATTTGATGCCTTGACGAGTCAGTTTTCAAAATGCAAAAGAGTACACCGTCAGTTGAGGTGAATTCTCTTTTAGGTGAATTCTACTTTGATATATCAAAATTTCAGCCGTATGTTCTTCCGTTACATGAACTGTTAAATTTCGCCTCTTCAATTTAAAAGAGGCTCAAAACTGGAGAATTAAAATAAATTCTAATAAATCCCACCAAATTACCTTTACCCTTCCTCGTAAACCTATGACTTCCTGTCCTACAGTTTACTTTAACAATACTCCACTTATCCCTGTTGAACAAATCCGCTACCTAGTACTCCACCTGGACAAAAGTCCGACTTGGAATCCTAATACCAGACTGAAACGACATGAAACCGCTCGACGTTTCCGATTACTTCAGCACTTACTAGACAAACGCTCTAAACTTCCAATTAATTACGAAAGACTCATATACATGACTACAATAAGGCCTATTTCGACTTACGGAGTTGAGCTATGGGGCTCCATTAAACCATCGAATTCCTCTCGTATTCAATCCCTACAATCCATAATCCTTCGTAAAATCCTCAATGCTCCTTACTTTGTCACAAATAAAATAATCCATAAAGACCTTAATGTTCCATATGTTTCCGATTTGACCCAATCCAGATACCTATCTTTCCATAATAAACTTCATAACCATCCGAATCCTCTTGTTTCTAACCTTGCTTCTTCTTCAATTCCTGATAATCTTCCGAAGGGTCTAAAAAGAAGATGGGCCCGTGATATCCTTTTGTAGACATATTATTAGATTGCTACCATTGGGTAGTTTCTCAACAAGTGTTTTCACGTCATTATATCCATATGTTCAAATTTACTAAATGTATTTCTTCAATTCAGTTGTAAATATCTTAAAGAAACAAAAATAAATAAATATAATTCAATTTTTTTGCATAGAAAGCAACTGCTAACCGAAGTTGCGTGTTCAGATGAGGTTTATCAAGAATTTAAAATGGTTACTAGCTTTGAATACTTCCGTTAAATGAAATTGTCGGTAGATCCTACTCAACAAGGGAATGTCACAATATTAAAAATATTGAACGCATGTCCCAGCGTTGGTTCGAATGGGTCATAGGAGCCAAGACAAAACAAGTTATGTTATTTATTTTCGCCTTTGCCCCTTCCGGATTTCTACATTATTATATTAAATCTTTTTTTTTTGTTTTGTTGTTATTGAGAATAAGAGAAATGCATATCCGATAGTATTATATGAATTACAATTCATAATAAATTACAAAAGAGAAAAAACGCTTTAAGTGAAGTATTTAATCTACTCCTTGTGCCTCGTGAGGAGACCTCCTAATTTAGAAACTTTATTAGAGTGCTACCAATGGGTAGTTTCTCAACAAATGTGTTCATGTTTTTATTTTCTGTTATCACATTTATTGAATGTATTTTTTCTTAATACAATTGTAAATATCATTAAAAAAAAGTTAAGAATTTTATACAGTATGTAATTGGCAATTGGGGTCCTGTGTCTATTTTTTAGGCATTATCATACGAGACTCTGTGAGGACGACTGTATTACATTTATTTATTATTTTGTAGAGTAGATTAGTATATTCTGCAGCCTTAAAAACAGCAAAAAGTTCTGCATGGAAAAAACTGATTTTTTTTGTGGATAGTATCAGACAAATTGATTTCGTTTGAAATGAATATCTTGATTCCAATGTTTCGTTTGTTTCAACAGCTGAGAATAAAAGTCAATTTTTTAGATCCACGTTTTGCCGAAATCGACAGAACTTTTTAGTAAATTTTTTTAAAAATAAAAATTCATTTAATATTCACTTAATGTATATAGGTATGATTGTGTTTAGAAATTTCTATTTTATGTTATTGTTTACTTTTTTTTTTAATTTACTTTCTTCATCAGTATTATTTATTTACTTTTTATATTTATATTTATTTCTCTATTATTTGTATATATTGTTTGAATGAGAACTCTTAGCTCTAATACTTATAGCCCTCCAAGTGGCTGATTGTATTATTATTCAATAAATAAAAAAAAAAAAAAATATTCACTTGAAAATTAGCAAAGTTCTAGTACCGAAATAAAAGAAAAAAAAAAGGAAAATAAATATTCCTGTCAAAATAAAAGTTAAATTATTTTTTCTATTCCTGATTTTTATTTTTTTTTTTTTAAATACAGAGTTATTTTCATAGAAATCGTACGGTAATTTGATATTATACTGCTTCGAAAAACTAGAAAAAAAATATAATAAGTTTTCATTCTCTTTCACTAAAAGCCGAAGTGAGAAACCTTTTTTTTTTACAAGTTATTATAAGTGGGGGAGGGGAGAGGGTAAGTGTAATGAGCAATATCTG